TAACTTCTGTTAACTTATGTTAACTTATGTTAACTTTTTAGCTAACTTACTTAACCTCCTAACTACATCTATATCTTAACTTAAGCCCAACGCACAATCTTAGTACATATAGATAGATAGATAGATATATATATATATATATATATGAATACGAGCATTCACGGTCACCCCTACCCTCCACAGTGGAGCGACACGGCGCTTCTAGGGTCTTAGACATGCACAGACGCAGGTGGTGAAGCTGCACAACCCAAGTTCGTTTGCAGCCCTGTGACTCCCGAATCCTGTAGATAGATGCGGCCAGGCTATTCGCTCCCTGCAGATCTCGCGAGCGCAGTGAAAAGTCGAGGTTGGCGGTGGAAATGCGGCTTTTCCGATCAAAATTTAGGCGAGACGTTCCCGGACCCAGAGCAGAAGAGCGGAAGTACTCCGCTCGCTAGCAGCGGCCAGGTGTATCCGACTGGGCGGCTGCCGTGGACTGGCAAACTGCGGAAGCTCCGCAGTGGCGTCCAGTGCAAAAAGACCAGGCATCTATCCCTGCCCTAATGTCGATATGCTGAAGTATTATCCGACCCAGCAGGAATAGTTAACGGTGCAGTGCACTCCGCTGCTAAGGCCACGGCAGTTCGAGCTTACACTTACACTAGATTGCCCAGACATCTCTTCATGGCCCATGCCGGCTTTGCAGGTCTCGGCGGGCCAGTCACAGTTCCTCAGCGCAACAGGGGGTCAGGGGTCTGTGACTCCATGCGCGTCGGGATCCAAATTTTGCCACAGCGTTAGCGATTTCTCGCCGAAGACTCGAGGGTCCCAGCCAGGACCCCCCAATGGCCCTTTAATAGAGCCCTTATGGTCCTAATAGTAGGTATTTGGGGTATAATAGAGGGTAGTTGGGGGGTCTAGGAGTAGCCCAAGCAATTGCATCAGCCTCGGGATGTAGTTGGCCTCCGTTCTTTGTCGCTCAGCGCGGCGCCCTCGGCTACCAAAGCCGAGGAGCTAGATTTGTATGCAGGCAGGTAACAGCCCATCATGGGCCATACTGCACGAAGTTTTCGCCCCAGCGCCTCCGCTACACCCTAAACCATAAACCGCTTTTCCGTCTGCCCAAACCGGTGGTAAACACAAACGCTCTAAACCCTACACCCCGATCTATCCATCACGATGCCGATGCCCTCCTGCTCGCAGCATCGAGCCCCAAGCGAGTAAACTGAGTAAACGAAGTAAAGGGGCGTGTGCCACAAGAAACTCCTACGAGAAACGGGCTTGCGGATAACGCGCGAAACGTAGTATATCGGAATAGTGATACTTATTTCGCAGTAGTATCCCCGAATATTCCAAGACATACCCCCGAGGTTCCCCGCAAAGGTGTAGCGTGTAGCGGGCCTCGAGCCTTCAGGCCCATATGCCGGATTGTCTGCACACCCCAGTGTTTTATGCAGAAGGAAGGATTCAGAGCTCAAGGGTCGTTCAGGCCCGATGGTTTTGGGTGGCTTAGGCTTCAGTGCTGTGGTTATGGGTGCTTCGGGTTGAAGCGCAGATCTCAATTTCACGTCTTGCCTGGTCTCTGCTACAACCTTGTTGCTTTGCTTTGGGTGGGGTTACGATTACAGTGTTTCGTGGTTGCTGTCATGGCTTCTGTGGCTCTCTTCTGCTACTACCTTTCTTAGTCTTGGTTTCCCCTACCACCCGGACCCAGCCCGAAACGCATAAGCCCAGCAGAGTTTATGTCTGTCTGTTGTTACTTTGCCTCGGGTCGTTACTGCAAAGGCTGCCAGGAGCCGGCCGGGGCCTCTTCGCGCGGCGCGCGCTGGCCAAAGGGGCCGTGCTGCCGCCCTACAAGGCCATGCTGAAGGGACAGGGGCCTGGGGCTTGCAGGGGTCGAGGATGCCAGGTTTCGGGGCACTGCAAGAGTTCGGATCGGGCTTCAAGGCGCCACGGACGACAAGGGTCAGCAACGTCTGCGGTCACTCGCAATGCCGAACCCTGTGGTGGAGTGTTGCAGAGCCTGTTGCAGTCATTTGCAGTCACTGGAGATTCGACGTCAAACATTTAAGACTGGCGAAATGTTTTGTTCCTTCAAGGGGGATCTTCCAGATGGCTACTGTCGAGCGGCTATGAGGATTGGCAGGGTGGAGGCCTAGGTTTTGATGCCGGGAACACTGCAGACATGCGACTGGGTTTCACCCCACTCGCAGCTTGACAGGGCCAACTGCAGACCTTCCAAACCGTCACCCGAATCTCAGATGCAGATGGGTGAGTATCATCACCGGGGACGAGAGCGAGGTTTCTGACAGATTGAGGACATGCTTGCAGGCATTTTGAATCCCCTCTCATTCAGAAGTTCAGGTGCTTCCGATCTCCCGTGCTAACCTCTGTAGGAGATACCGGTGCTCCTGTAGTCAGCAGTCTGGGATACACCCAGGGTTAGACCGGTGGGGCATGATGGTTTCGGATTTAGGCGAAAGCGGTTCGGCCTTGAATTCTGTAGCTTGCAACGAGGTTTCTTTCAGAATTCCCCGTGAACGATATTCTGCTGATTTGGTTGTAGACAGCTTCAGACCCAATAGCAACGAATCGTCAGTGGGAAACCACGACCATCACCATCAGCATCATCATCATCATCATCGTCGTCGTCAACACCAGGGCCATTGCCAGCTTTATCATTGCTTTCATTCCGCCAACAGCACTATCATGCACCATCCTACAACCATGGAGCGGTGGTTGAGATTAGCGATTACTTGCTCTTTTAACCATGGCGGTACTTGGAAAATCATGGGACTTAGTAAGTAAGGTTATAAGTACCCTACTTGGGGTTATAATCATAGCTACCTTATTTATAACCCTAGTTGCTAAGTCCCATGATCCTCCAAGTAGAAATATGGGGGTTTCCGAAAATAGGGGACCCTAATATAGTACCCTAAATAGCAGGATCCTTATTATAAGGACCCCAAAATAAGGTACCCTAATTTTCGGAAACTCCCATATCACGACAAGGCGGCGGCGCCTACGTCTGGTGCCCGCAGAATCCCGGCGACGCAGCGGCGGCTTTCTGCGTCTCGGCTTCAAGTCGCCAGGGCAGCTCTTGGTGGCTCTGTGCAGGCGAAGGGGCCTCTGGCCAATATATAGTATCTACATACGTATATATATATATATATATATGTATATATATATATATATATGTATATATATATATACACATACATACTAGTAGTAAATAGTAGATAGCAGTAGAATATAGTATATAGTCATATAGTATTTAGTCTATCCGGGTACTTGCAAGGAGGGCCCTGAGTCCCGGCTAATGGACTCAGGTAAATTATAGTAATCTCAAGTTCTAACTACCCAGGAACCTCCAAGTCAGCTCGTGTCCAGGCCGTCTTCGTGTTTTCGATTTTTCAGGCTTTCATGTCACGGTCTCTAGTAAGTTCATGTGGCAAAGCCGTGAGAGTGCCCCACACAGCTAATGCAAAGCTCCGCTTTTGACGGCAGCAGGGCCCTGGAGATCATTACTCCTTTCAAAAAAGCCGAGTCTTGGTGCGCAGTCCAGGCATGGATGCCGCGGCTGATGACCCGGAGAACCCTGCTCGGTTAATCAATGCAGCTGCCAACGAAGAGCAGTGCAAGCAGGCGGGCAGCCAAAACTCAAATTCACAGTTTTGGTAGCTCACATTGCTCTTTGGGTATGTTGCTGCTTTGCTTGCAGCATGACCTCACATGGAGGTAAACACCGAGATTTGCCAGCTGGGAAGTATCCTCTATTTCCGCACGGTGCAAGACGTGCCAGCGGGGACAGAGCTTGTTACAGACTATGGTCGGCACCTAAAACTTTCGCAGCTTGTGCGAGTGGTGATCACGCAAGCCGCGGAATTGGATTCCTTGCGTTGGCCTAGGCTACAGCTACTGGCCGGATTTCGACTCGTGCCAGCTCGTGACAGCCAACGATCTGATGGCTCGCTTGGAGAAGCGCTCGACAAGATGAAAAAAGTCCGCGGGGTCTTTCAAGTTTCCGAGCCATAAACTCAGAAGATACTCCCATCATCATGGCTCTGGGGGATGTTGAGGGGGATGTTCGATTCCTGAATCATGACGATCGCCAGTTATTCTTGAGTAATACTACAGTGACTACCCATGAAGTATCAATGTTCCATCAGCATCTGTCCGGGGGACGACGGATTGCGCGGCCTGGATGCCTGCATTGCCATGTTCATCGGTCATCTGGTCAGTCATAAGCCAAACACACAAGATCACACAAAAAGACTCTCCTCGAATCGGGCAGAGCACTCCGAAGCTTTGGAATCCTGATGTCTGGGTTACGCTCCAACTCAACAGGCCTACAGCCACTCGCAATGAGGTGTTTGGAATCATGGACTCCCATCGCCCCCAAGCCAAAAAAGCTGCCCACACGAGGCTGCATTGAGAAGTGCTCTGAATATTCTGCATCGGACTCTTGTCTTCGTTGCGAAGGTTTCTGTCTCTCCTCTTTCGTTTGGGTTACGTAGTTGTTCAGCTCAGCGGTTCTGGTGAAGAGGATGGGATGACTACGGGGATTTCGAGGTCAAGTGCGCAAAATTAGATCCGGGTGACATGAGCACAGAACCCAGTGAAGGATATAGAGCTTACCAGCCTGAGAGCATGAGAGTGCTTCATGCTTCAAGTAACACCATGGCTCTCAAGAGTCTGTGAAACGGTGGTATTGGTTGCAGCAGGAGTCGAAACAGTGTTCGCAAGAGTAGTCTAGGCAGCACGAGCCGAAATTTGCATTGCCACCACTCGCCCTGCCCTTCTTCCTGTTGCTGCGGCGGATACGGCACGACCCACTAGTGGCTGGCTGCTACATATATAGGAAGTGCCACTACCCTCCGCGACGACGACAGATCTACTACTACTGCTGCTACTGCTTGTCAATGCTTCTGCTTCTCCTGCTCGTCCTGCTGCCCCTACTGCTGCTACTGCCTCTGCTGCTGCTACCGCTACTGCTGCTACTGCTGCTACTGCTACTGCTGCTACAGCTGCTGCTGCTGCTGCTACTACTAACTACTCCTGCTGCTGCTGCTGCTCCTGCTGCTGCTGCTACTACTACCACCACTGCTGCTGTTGCTGCTGCTATGATGAGGATGATGATGATGATCCCCCACCATGACCGCAGTGCAGCAACAACCTGTGGCCACTCGAGCTTTTTGCGTACGCCAAGGAGCGCTCCTGTAGCAATTGCCAAGCACTCAGACGTTTCTGACCAGTCTTCGCGGTCATGTCCCGTGGCTTATGGAGTTCGCCGGAGCAATCAAAGCCATTGTTTGCGTTGGTGCAGGGTCAACCTGGATGGGCGTTCTTGCCCGCCGTGGATGAAGAGGGCTCCGAAACAGGAGGTGTGGCACCGTGTGATCGAGTCTAGACAATCTCAAGATTTCTCGGAAAGCACTCGACTTCAATCACACAGATGCACAGCTGGGTACTCCTGCCTTTCTGTAGGTTTTTGCCGTGCGCCCAGTGCATCTTGCACTGATGCCAAGAAACGTTTAACATCGCACCGGTGCGTTAAGCACAAGTATATGCCATGCCAAGAGTCTTTGCCACAATCTCTTGAGGCAGCGAGCGTTTGCAAGGCTGCCTTTCGGTAGTACGCAGACAAAGCCGCCGGAGCTATTCATAGGCAGTAGCCCCATCGGTCCGACAGATAGGCAACCTCTTCTGGCGGCTTCTGCCTCGCGAAAGGGCACCGCCCCTTTTCATTGCACCACCAGAGTGGTATGGGCCTTTGGCTGCGACACGAGTTCTTTACTTTTCCCACTGCACGGCCGTCCGGGAGCTGGCCCCTGGCCCTAGTCTTTTCATCCCGAGCATGAACCCCAGTGAAAGCCGAGCCCCTGGCGGCTGGACGGGCTTTCTGCACCGGCCCAGTTCCGGCCCGGAAATTCTTGATTCCGAGAAGCTTGGACACATTGCATCCTCAGGCGCTTGGAAGAGACGGACCTGGCTCTTTCTTTTCTAATCCCCTCTCCCCCAGCGGTTTTTTTTGCTGGAATGCAAGCCTGTTTCCTGAGCGCCCTGAGAGCCCGAGCTCTCCAGATCTTCGCCATGTGCAGCGCCCAGAGCCTCGACGTCGGCAGAGGGCCACCCGGATAGAAGTACACTTCCACAAGAATCGGAGTGTTATGAGTGAAAGTGAGTGAGAGAGCTATCATTGTTGCAGTGGTTCTATGCCGATGCTGTGAACACCCGGAAGAGGCGTCACTCAGATGATCTCATCCATGGTCTTGCCACCTTTGAAGAGTTTAAGACGAGGTGGCTGGCTCAGGACTGCCAAGAGTTGCAGACTTGCCGCCCGGTGCATCGCGCACTTCGTGCCTTCGAGCCGTGGGACTGGTTCTGACATGTCCTCAATCGGTAACTGCCTTTGAAGTGCATAGGACCTAGGAGCTAATCATGTTGACAGGGCCGGCATGTGGGACTCGAGTCTTGTGCGGAAACCATGTCTTTGAGATTAGCTTCGGCACCAGGAAGCTAGGTGGTCTTGCAAACACTGTGAGAACAGCTTTGCAGGGCGAGCAGGACGTAACTAATGAGTTTTCCAAGAGCAAATACTCCAAAAAAAAGCACATGGTTAAGCTTGTCTAAGGTGCTCATACTTGGAATTGTAGGACCCCTGGCATCGTGTGTGTTCTGGCCTTCTGTGCAAGCCCGCATTTTCTGCACGCCGCACCTCAGCTTTTGCTGACCTTCCTGATGCGGCAAGCCACAGCTTTGAGACAGCTCAGTTTACACATCGTGGTTGAAGGGGTGCCCACAGCATTGACTCTCTCCTCTTAGCATGCGAGCTTGTGGTCCGAGTCCAAAACCTTCACGGACCCGCTGCAGGATGTTGGAATTGTTTCAACCGCTTGCGACTTCACTGGCGCAGCAGCAACACCCGCGGCCCCAACACAGATTCTTTGTCCTTGGCTTCACGCCACGTCTTTCCCCCAAACTCTTTGCACGGCTGGGTGCATGCAAAATCCGCGGGAATGACCCTCCGAACCGGATGCCAGCTCGCACGACCCTTAGCAACCATTGCCCCATGTCGAGGATCAGGATGAGCTGGTGATTGTCATTGATTACTATTGTTGTTGCCGTTCCTATTATCATGGTTCAGGTTGTTGCAAATCTTGTTGCTGTGATTGTTGTCATTTTTCTTACTATTGCGTAGTTAGTTTGGTTATTATTCTTGTTCTCCTCATTTCGCTGTTTACTATTACAAATACTGTTGCTACTACTATTATTGTTGTTACCGTTACTATTACCATTACTATCAGTACCACTTTTTCTACTACTATGGCTATCACTATTGCTGTCGCTATCACTATGGCTATTACTATTGCTGCTACTATTGCTACGTGATACTTCTTATTGCTATTACTATCACTATCACGATGACTATGAATATGGCTCGTACCATTACTAGTACTAGTACGAATACGAGTACTACTACTAGTGCTAGTACTAGTAATATGACTACTACTATTATAATTCCTATTCCTTTTCCTATTCCTATTACCATGACTGTTGCTGTTGTTGTTGTTGTTGTTGCCGTAGTAGTAGTAGTAGT